TTTGATTTTTCATGAAATGACGAACTTTTTCACTAAAAAAATAAAGTGAATAAAAAGACATTGCTATAAACTAGAGATGTTTGTCTTCGCAGCTGAAACATAGGAAACCTTTTAATAAGGAGTTTGAATTATCACGAAAGATCATACATCGACTAAACATGGAAAAAGAATACTTATTAAATAAATTTTTTATATTAAAAAACCTTAAAATAAAAAGTTTCTCTCAACTACAAAATTATAGCGCTATTTATCTCAATTGGTAAAGTCAATTACGTATCTTATATTTAAACCACGAGAAAAAACTCAACTTTTTCCATTGATAAATTATCCATAAATGAAATATTCAAATTGAAATTTTGTTTGAACCTCGTTTAATTTATTCTCAATTCCAATGGTCATATTGATTTTAACGGAACGACTTGTCGAATCTCGAGAGTTTTCCAGACAACTACAACCCGCCCGAACAAATAAAAATATATTAATTTAATTTAGTGAATAATTAAAAAAAAAACACAAAATAATTGCTGGATCTCGAAGCGATATAAAATAAAAAAAAAAATATTAAAGAGAAAAAATATTAAACGATAATGATTCACCGCTAGCGCCAACACGATCCAACCCGAAGAGGAACATAAAGGAAAAAAAAAGAGGCGCAAGATTTTATCGAAATCGAACGATCGCTATGCTCAGAACGACCACCTGATCTCATTGTTTATACTAAGGGCGTTTTCAAGCACTTAACTCAATGGATCGGTATTACAAAGAGATTCATCAACGAGTAGTTAATCCATTGATATAATATGAAATGTGTAGATTCTTGACAATTAACAAAATTTATTAAGTCTAAATTTTTCAGTTTATTAAATTCAGTCTTAAAAATCGCTACGGCCATGTAATATAATTTTTTAAGTTATTGCTTCTAATTTCTATTTTAAAAAAAAAATAAACTAATGATTAAAACAAATCATATTCAATATTTTTTTTTATTTCGAACTGTGAATTTTTTAAAGTTCGCTAACCCAATTTTTACATTATAAATTTACTTCTTTCATCAATGAAAATAAAAAATGAACGTGTAGTTCTGCATAAAATAAAGATGCGAATGAATTTCCATTCCTTGATGAAGCTCGATATTGTTTGTGACATCATAATTGAAGTTTGCCTATTATTAATTCATACAGAAATAGTATCATCTGGTTTGATAACTGACACAACGAATAAATTTAATCTATCCTCACAGATATAGGTCACTGGAGACCCAGAATCTATGAAGCATATACAATCTTTATCTGGGTGGCAGTGGAGGCAGTCTAGAAAAGGGGGAAATAAAATTTTTTTATTGGTCCATTTGACTGATCAAAGTCATGTGCTCAAAATTAGCTTAGAAACAAAAATTTAAAAAATTTATTTTTTACTGACGTCCTCCCATCTTCTTACTGTCATTGCACAAAAAAAGCCGGTTGCATAATCCTCAATATCGTCATAAAATTCTTGCGAGGAGTCCGAAAGATATTCGATTCAAAGTCTTTCTGATATTTAACACATTTATTGATTTTCTCCAAACGTTCGTTAAATTATTTCAGTTCATCCATTTTCACTCGAACTTGAGAATTTCTCCCATATTTAACAGATGAAGAAGGTTACAACTATTTTCGAAAATATTTACATTTTCTCGTGCTACCTTAACGCAATTGTTACATGATTGGAAAGTCATCCCACCTGCAACTAATGTAACTCCTGCATAGAAATAATTGTTTGGCAAATGGTGCAAGAATAAACAAACTTTAGGGTTAAGTTAAGGATCAATTAGTCATATTACTGATATATTCTTTGCATGGCCATGAGGAGCAAAGGAACTCAATGATTTGAGTGTGAGTTCGGTCATTGGTTACCATCCTTCTGATAATAGCTCACGACTTGTAAAGGTTTTCTGGCAAATCTGATGTTTCGACGGGTGGCAAAATCGAAGCTAGTTTGACGTTTTGCCAAATATTTTTTTATAGGTAAAACCGCGAAAGTTTCGACGAGCGGTAAGATTTTTGACAGGTTGTAAAGTTTCGACTTGTAAATATTATGATGGGGCAAAATTTTTGATAGATGAAAGCCTAATTAAAATCATTGAAATTTTTAATTATAAAAGCTAAATTTATATATTTAAGTTCTTTTATATTGTATTACAACCCAGCCTGTTAAAAACAGTCAATTTGCAAATTTTGGTTTCGCGATATCGTTCGAAATTATAATAAATCTATAAAATCCCGTCGAAAATCAAAAAAAAATACTGTATTGGTCAAATAGAGTAGCCGTGCGATAATCAAGTTTACCACTCGTTTAGTTTTCAACAGGTTTCAAAGGTAAAAAAATAATTTAAATTTTTATATTAATTAAATAAATTTTCTTTATTAGTAAAAAAAAATTATTTGTAGTCACAAACGAAAGAAAACGACTTTTTAATTACTCTACATAAATTTATTTCAACTAGTCCAGAATTTAAGAATAACATGTTATAAGTCGAACTTCTATTAATTTGGAAAAATTAGTGAATTTAGATAAAATGGAAAATTATCGTCGAAACTCGTCGAAATTGTCAAAATCCGTTGAAGCGGAATTATTTTCAAAAAGTTTCGAACTTTCGCAAAATTGATTTAGGGTTTGCCCCGCAACCTTAAACTTTCACTCTATTATTCTTCTTGAAATTGTTGAAATCAGCGGCGATTTATAGCAGGCTTGTAGAACGATGATTATTTATGAATGTAAATCATACAGAAAGGTTCAAATGTGTGGACAAATCTGTTATATAAGAATAATAAAATCATAACAATGCAAGTGCACAAACAATGAAGAGAAAAAAATAGGGCAAATAATCTTTAGGACTAAGATTATCTTATATTTCAAATTTAATTTCAATGTATATATAATTTAATAATTAAATATAAATAAAAAATTTAATATATAGTATCTTTAAATTAAACTGATATGTTATATAAACTATATAAACCATACAATTTGATTAATGATTTTGATTAATAAACATTTGATATAACAAATTTAACGTATAGGATACAATTGATGTTGAATCATAGGATCATTTAGGGTGAATCAGGATTGAATTAGGATTAAATCCAGTGGTAATTAATTAGATTATCAGCAAATAATTGGAATGCTATCAAATGATTGAATTTTATTTAATTTTTGCAATTATACCAAATCTGATAATTGATTTTTATTATATAAGTTGACTGTAGTTTCATTTAAGTTTATTTTACATTACATTTTTTTTATTTATATTTTTATCATATGATAATTAATTTCCTTAAATGGAATTGATGACAGGGGGGAGGGAAAAATTCTAAAAATTAAAATGACATCATTTTTGACCCTTCTCTAAAGGTTAGATTATAGTCTATATTGGAATAGATTCAAATCTGAATAGAGAATGTGATTTATCAATCAATACAGTTAGCTGATTGATGAACACAATGAATTAGAAAAAAATTTAATAATCAAGATTTAAACGTAAGATCTAATTAAGAATATCATTACAGTGCATTTTATATAAAAGAATTTATTAGAATTTTTAATGCATTCAGGAGTTAAGCATTCCAAGATGAGGAAAACTCATAGCAGAAAATTAAATAAAAGAAAAGAGAAATATCCTTCTTTGAAGTTTTTATTCAACATAAATTAAGGCATTAAGAAGATAATTATGCTCAAAATCTAACGTAAGAAGTTTTATTCATTTTGATCTGCTGACTTTTATCTAAACAAATAAACAAAATAAAATTAAAATAAATCAATTCAATTTTTATTTTATAAAAGAAAATTTCAAATTGATATTATTTCATTCGCAAATAAGAAATAGTAGTATAATAATTAGAAAATATATTAAAATCTGCAATTTTCTAATTTAAACTATGCATAACATATAATATTTGTTTAACTTTACAATCATCTAAAATAATTGAATTGAAGAAAATCTCATTAAATGTTTCCATCATTTTTCTTATTCAATAAAATAATAGACATATGAACAAGACATAAAAAATTAAATTAATCTCATATTAAGCAAGAGCATATAATTTTTTTATAACTTTGATTATCACACAGCCCTATAGGATCATGCTGATATTATTTAACCTATATTTTTTTGCATATTAAAAAATTAATTTATTATATAATATTGAATACTAATAGTTTATTTGCATCAATATTAAATATTAAATAATTTATTTACATATGATATTGAATATCTTTATTTCTGTGTCATTAATAAATATAAGCTAAGAATTTATGTGTCTATAATGTTAATTTTTAAATTAACTTTTTTATATTTAAATATTTATCAAATTAACCAAATTATTTATGTTTATAGTAATTTTTAAGTTAGTGATATTATTAAAATCAATTTCTTATAATATCTTTTGTAAATTAGATCATCAGGTGCTTCTTTCAAATCATTCATTTTACATTGATAGATAAATCTAAATTAAAAAAATTTTGATTTTCTTTATTAACAGAATAACAAAAAAAATTTGATATATAATATACCTTATTATTGTAATATATATATATTATCTACCAAATTACTTAATTCTATATTTTTGTGCTAAGTTGCTAATTTCATAGAATCTCTTAAAAATTCCAATTTTTAAAGTCCCTATATAAGTATTTTATATTCAGTATGATTTGTGTTCCTTTGTTTAATACAACTAATTTCACACATTTTGTATATTTCATATATTAAATTTTTAATCAATTTTGATTAATATGAATTATTTATACTAGCATCCTATGTATAAAGCTAATATTACTAGATAATATGAACTATTGTAATGTCTAAAGCGTTAATTTATAATGTTTAAATTTATTATAAAAAACAATTCTTAAATTTTTAATATTAATTTAAGGGCAAGCACGTCTGCAAATTAAATTATATGATAATATAACAATATATCTTATCAATTATATGTGTAAAAGATAGATATTACATTAAAATGAGTCTAACTAAAGATGTCTTCAGCTATACTTTAAACAAATAAAATAACTATTAAAATAATTTACAGTCACTGGCGAAAGTAATGGCACTACAAGTACTGCTTGTTTTTTGAGTCGTAGCATGTTCATTTTTTACTCTAGAATTTTCCAGTATTTCTAGAGTATTCTTTATAAATAATATTTAATAAACAAACAAAAAAAAGTTGTAGAA